CCACCCACGGAAGCCACCCCCCCCCCCCCCCCCCCCCCCCCCAGGGTGGTTATTTTTTTCTGACAGTTGAAGCGCGTTCGTTCCCCACAAGCAGTCCCTCAAAGGCGCGCGTTCGGTTCGCATGGCCCTTCCCCGAGGCGTGCAGGCATCCGGTCATCTCTCTTCTGCTGTGTACTTACGAAGTCCCGGATCCCTATCGCCGCCAGTCTTCGATGGAGCAAGTACGCGCACTCGCGACGACGGAACAACCAGCCGCTGCTGTGTCCCGCATCTCCGTAACTAACTCCCTTGGCCGTAGTTCTCCAACAATGAACGTGCTGGAAGGACGGCGGCGCGTTTCCGTCTAAACCTTACACCTTAGCGTAGTCCACCTTGCCCTCGAGCTTCTTGTTTTCCGCGATCTTCCGCACCGCCTTCATGAAGTCCTCCTGCGTACGTATCGGCACAGCACCGTTCGAACAGAAAGAAGCTTCGATCATCAGCAACTACGCTACTATAGCGGGAATCTACTCCTGTCACGTGGTGCGGGGCGCTGGGCTACAACATCGTCACTGCCAGGGTGACGCTTGTCTCTGCAAGGAGATGAAAATCCGCGGGCGTCTACACCATGGTAGACAGACGACTCACCCTCAAGAAAGCGAGTTCAACCTCCTGGAAAATTCATCTCACACAGATGAGCAACTCTCACAAAAGCGGAATCAACCAATCACCTCTAGCACGTAGTCTCGGTCGGCCCTAATCGCGAACAGCCCGGCCTCAGTGCCCACGTTCCGGAGATCCGCACCGTTGAACCCGTCGGCAAGCTGCAAGTCGGGGGTTGTCCCAAGAGGCCAAACGGCAGGCAAAGCATTGATTGGTGACAAAAATGCCGGCGAGGTGACAGAAGTAGCGGTCGACGGGCGCGGCAAAAATCTACATGAGCGACTGTAGAATGGATGACAGAGAGAGCCAAAACAAACGGGAATCTAACCGCGCGACAAACACATTAGCGACTGCCTGTACGTTTTTTGCGAAAGGGTCGTGTCAAGAAGCGGGTATGGAATTGGGCGTACACACCCATGACAGCGCGCCACACCGCTAGTCTGACGCTTGCTTCGTCCGAGGTATGAACAATAACCCAGGCAGAACAGGCGGACGTTCGAATTTTCGCCTCTTCACTTCCGAGTCTACGAAGCATGCCCCTCTCCCTCTTGCTCACCTTCACTACCGACTCGAAGTCTATCTCTCCTCGCTTCGTGATGGACGCCGAGTGGATCTTGATGATGTCCAGCCTCGAGGTCTCGTTCGGGAGGGGGATCTCGATCTTGCGGTCCAACCGGCCGGGGCGCAGGAGAGCAGGGTCGAGGATATCTGCGAAAGGGGTAAAAAACGCAGACACGCACAGCGAGCAAGCAAGAAACAAGCCAGAAACAAAAACTCACACACGTCATCACAGCATCACAGCATCCATCCATCACGCGCGATCAACCAATCAAGCCAGACAGTCGAGCAAAGCAAGGAAGCAATCAGGCCAAGCAACTTCAATAGCGGACAGCGGTTGTGGTCGTCGGGGAGGCATCTTTTTCTTCCACCCTTGTCACCAATGGGGCACGCAAAATTGCCCTCGTGTCGTGCTGCACAGCGCAGTACAGTCAGCTGCCGCATTTCTCGATGACCTGCGCCGCTGGCCGGCGCGCTCCACTGCTGTGCTTCCTTTCTCTGCTCCGTAGGCTCAGAAGTTAACATGCCGTCTAAATCTAAATCTGTCTGCCTGTCTCTCTCGACTCGACGGTAGCTTGGCTCTCGGGGTCACTCGTTGCGGTTACCATGCTTGTGCATCTTGTTCCCGCTTCCGCCGACACCGTTCTTTTATTCATCACCGGGCAACAGACGACGGCACGATGATCGATTGCATCGAACCAGTCCACCGCTGCTGCTGCTGCTGCTGCTGCTGTTGCTTCTCCCCTTGAATAAAAAAAAGCAACGATAGACCACGAACGAATGAAAACTACACCGAGAACAGAAAAATCACGGCTTCAAGTAACCAACTGAGGGGCCTGGTTCTGTCGGACTTATGCTTGCCTGGCCGGTTGGTGGCCATGACCATCTTGACCTGCCCAAGGTCCTCGAAACCGTCCAGCTGATTCAGCAGCTCCATCAGCGTGCGCTGGATCTCCCTGCAGGTAGGAGAGAGTTTACCAGACAGATTTTCACGGGTTGGTCAGCAAAAAAAAAAAACGCCAGACAACAGGTGCTTGGCGCATGGCATGCTAAGCAATAAGCCGGTAGAGAAGGGTAGCCACGACTACGCACGAAGGCGCTACACCGGCGCCACTAGCTCTTGACAAGGAGACGTTGCCTGCACCAACGATCTCGAGGTGGTACCGTGCGCGGGCAAGCTGAGAGAGGTCGTTTCTTCTTGCAACCCGACCGTGCGTTCGACAAACACAACCTGCAGTGCCGAGTGGCGCCGCTCTACTCGAACGTCTCACTCTGCCGATGGCACACACAAGCTTCTTCAAAAATCAGCCAAATGTTTTCTGGCAAGTTTTGTCGGGAAAGAAAATCGCCCCCGTCTCACCGCGCTCGTTAGTGTTTCGTGTGGGGTATCGTTGATGTTCAGGGAAGCATGCACATAAGTTGCAGGCGCAAGCATCGTTGGACCCGCACCTATCAGCCGATGTCCCCTCCGAGAAACGGCTCCCCCCGATGGCATCGATCTCGTCCATGAAAATCACGCACGGTTGATGGTCCTGTATTTATTGTATTGAACGATGCAAACACGGCCAACCAGCCACCACAGGGTCAGGAGCGCCAAACAGGGCATGACGCTGCTGCGGCAAGGAAGCCGCGGCAAGGCGAGCAAAGGACGCCAACGACGACGACGAGGGGTTGCACAAAACAGGCATCCTAACCCACTCCACGAATACAATGTAGCGACAAGAGCGCTAAGTGTACATGGCGTCTTAACAGTTCTGTCGCCAGCCCAGCCAGGAGCTTCGTTAGGGCGCTATCTGTCACATCTCTGGCGCTACGAGACCGGCCAAATGGAGAGACGCGGAGCGGGCGTGCCAGCAGAAGGTCGGCCGTCAAGCTAATCGAGAGGGAGGGTGGGCGCTGCTACATTAGATGCGTGTGCCTCTGGCGCAATCATCACTCATGAGCCGCACATCCTGCCAACGCCAGGGAAAATTCTTGCGATACTCCGAGGAGCTATGCTTTTTTCCACAACTCAGATGGAGCCCGACACACTTTCGGAGCCCCGATCATCTATACCTACCTTGCGTAGACTAAACTCAGCTATGCTGTAGAATTACACGCTGTTAACTCTTGCACTGCCAGCTGAGCTGACGTGCAACCCAAGGAGCGGCGGCCGCCGCCTGCTGCTTGCTCACCTTTGCGTACCCGAACATCTCGCGAACCACGCGGGCACTCTCCCCGATATACTTGTCCACGATCGCCGAGGCCACCACCTGAATAACCAAGACACAGCAACGGTTAACAAAATCATCCAGGAGCGCGCGGACATGCATCAGCAGCGCTTCTTTTTCCCACGCGCACGCGGCTGCCTCTGACGGGCGGATACGGGATAGGAGTAGGTAAGGCAGGAGACAGAACCGAGCTAGAAAAACGTAGGGAGCGACTACTATACGACGGCGACATCACAATGGCGGCGACTCGTAATGACAACAGAAGCACCAGCAACCGCAACGCAAACAACCACACATGCATCGAAATCCTTGCATGTGGGTACCGCAGTCACACCTTCTTCAGCCCCCAAAAATTCACTCCCAAGGCTTTTAGCGGTACCTTGACGGGCGAACACCGGTTCACAACTATTGAGAGCATGAGGCAGACAGCTTGGATGTGCCATCCGTGTCACGCGATTACCGTCCTTCTCTAGCAGGGCGGTTGGCCATACTATCGGCCTTAATACAGGGTACTACCACTGCTGCTGTTTCCAATCACCTTGAGGAAGGTCGCGTTGATGTTGGACGCCAGCGCCCTCGCTAGCAGAGTCTTGCCCGTCCCGGGAGGTCCATACAACAGCACTCCCTACAACACGAAAAGCACAAAAACACAAAAAAAGTTTGCATACCACACGAGATCGTGGCACTTAGAAGCGTTTCCCGATTTTAGGCGCACTGAGTTCTGACGACAGTTTATTGGTGAGCCGGATAGCGCGGTCGATGCTAAGCTCAACAAGCACACACTTTTGCTTCCACGCATGCACGCACGAGGGACGCGTGGTCTCTTCCTTTAGTGTAGCCCAACGGGACGACGTAGCGCTTCAGACAAAGAGAAGCTGGGGTGGGTCGGTCTATGGCTCCCACGACGGCAAACACCTTGGTGGGCACATGAGCAAAGCTCTGATGGATGGACCCACACTAACCCGTGGGTGACGTTTTCGATTTTGATTGCATACCCTCAGTCCTTGCATGAGGCCCTGATTCTCTGAGTGGTTAAACTCTCGCCGACATATTTGCAGATCTAGAAGGGGGGGCCGCTACATATGTAGGTATGCAACATGTTGTAACATCTTCGTGTTCATGTCAGTGAACCAGCCTGTACGCAGTGACTAAACCAGCGCTACGTTGTTCGTTACCTTGGGAGGCTTGATCCCAACGCGGATGAAGAGCTCGGGGTTGGTGAGGGGCAGCTCGATTACCTCTCGCAGCTCTCGGATCTGCTCTCCCAGGCCTCCGATCTCGCTGAAGCTGATCCCCCCGGGGTCTTCGTTGAGCATGTGGAACACGGTGGGGTCCACCTGTGTGCCCCAACAAAAAGCCGGATCAAGGCAAAAAAATGAATAAAAAAAAAAAGTGAAAACGGTCGCGTTGTACATAGAGGGCCGCCGGAAGAAGGGTTTCCACGGGCAAAATCGGAAAAAACCGAGAGTTGGCTGAGGACGCTCTTGGCTAATAGCGACGGGGTGATGACGAGAGAGCCCAATGCATGCACGAAGGCAGTGCAAGTCGAAGGCCTCAATCGAACCAACAGCGAAACACCAGGCAGCAGCAACGGTGAGCCCACGTCAGGGCAGTGAGACTATTCTTTCATGAGAGAAACTGTCTGTTGTACTGCACATGGAGCGAGCGCTGCCTCTCTCTGCCAGTGCCCTCGCCGCTCCGGGGACAATATCTGGACCGGGGTGATACGCGTATACTCGAGCCTAAACAGCAGTGACGCCGCTGCAAACTGAAAATCAATTGCACAAGCCACGGAGCTACGCCTGATCAGCTGCGAGGTTCGCGTCGCCGAGTAAAGAAAAAAAACAACTGCCCCATTCGAACGACTGCTGTCTGTTTTTACGACATGAATAATGAGAAACACCACGACCATGACTACCACGGTAGCATCAGCAATGAACACTACCATGGCCACGAGCTGGTGCTATCGGTCGTCGTCGTCGTCGTCGTCGTCGTCGTCGTCGTCGTCATATTCTTCGCTGTTCATGCCGTCAACAACAGACAGTTTGTAATGGGGCAGCGCTATCTTTTGTAGGTAGTCGTAGCAGCAGCAGCAGCAGCAGCAGCTTGCTATCCACCAACTACCCAGAGCGCGGTCACCCGTTCCGGTACCCCCCCCTCCCGTCCAGCAAGCAAGCCACACCTATCGCACCTACCCAACACCAGACCCACCTCTCGTGGCAGCTTCCGCATGATGGTGAGCGTGGTCATGTCGAGAGAGACGCGGGTGCTGGGCTTGAGCGCGGCCTTGTCGAGCTTGCTGCGGCAACCCACGACGTACCGCGGCCCGCTGGACGCCTTGACGATGAACCGGTCGTCATCGAGCTGCTTCAACACATCGCCGATAATTTGTCCCACGCTCTGTTGTGAAAAAAGGACCACACCCAAGATGATCGTCAAGCAAGACAACCGGAGGGGAGGGGGGCGACTAGCAAGGTCAGCCACAACTGGAGGGCAGCCTGTGGGATGCATATTCCACGGGGTACCGGAGGTGTAAGGCGCACGACAAAAGTTTGCCGGAGGGCGAAACACGGTCAGTGAACTGGTCGGTGCTTGCCTAGATACGCTATTTCGTACCATATGGGAGATGACAAGAAGGAATCAGCCTGGACATGCCGGGGAATGAAGTGCTATCCCACCAATCCCCACCGCCAACGGCCGCAAGGCAGACAGCCTCTTACCCCAGTCAACTTCGTAGAGAGGGGAGAGAGAACACGGCCGTACTTGCTGTCCACGTGGCCGAAACGACCAGAATGGCGACACCGCACCCCCACACACCGCGACCACGCAACATTCTTAACGCACCTGGAGTGCCTTGTTAACGCACCTGGAGTGCCTTGAGGTCGTCCTCCGTCTTGTTGTACTCCTTCACGAGGTCCCTAGTCTCCGTTCTAAGGGTCTTTACACGCGTCTCCATCTCGCGGTGCTCCCTCACCTTTTCCCACCCAGTCCACGCCCAAAGGGAGGGGGGGGGCGGGGGAGGCCGGGCTCAATAGCAAGAACGAGAATCTCTGCGTGGTGCGCGCTTGTTGGCATGTACAAGTTCGGCTCTCACATGGGATTTTCCATCCAAACCGATGGTGGGCTATTGGGGGAACTGTTGATGTCGCACGATTGATTGCATTTTCGCCAGCTACTGCCGAGTTGATAGGCCGCACAAGCTATATCCCGAACAAACCGAACGGCCTGAGCGACCGACATACACGCCGAATCCAGCACACCTCGAGAAGGATGCATTGCATTGCATTGCGATGCACTGCAAGGAGAGCCCCCACATACGTGACATACCAGGCAGATGGGGTTTTGCCAACCAAACGGTTGGGGGGCGTCGGGGTCACTCAGAAGTCACAACAAAACACAGGAAGATGCGTCTGCGGGGCTCCCTTACGACGAGTCCACGAGTCCACCAGGTGTGTCCGGTATCAGCCTATGCGTAGGTACATGTGCAAGAGTTTGTTTTCTACGCACTGCATTTCCTGCTCAGCACCAACATTCTTTGCAAGCAGCTGTGCATGACAATATACGCGGCGTGGGTGCCTTGCTGTGCTACTCTCAAATATCCTACCATGAGGCATGCGCAAGATAAGACTAGCTTGCGCCTACTTGTACTTTGTGGGGACGAGCAGAAGACTCTCTCATGTCATCTGTACCGGGAGATGAGACATTTACTCCAGGATGACTGCTGAAGACACATCGAGAAGTTTTTGACAAATGATAGGTTGTGCATTTTGCATGGACAAGCTGCGCCTGATGAACAGAAGCGGCGCCTCAAGTGCGGTGCGGACACTCGACAGGGTGCTATGTGCCATATGCTACGAGCAGCCCGGAGGGAGGCTTGAAAACAGGCGTTCGCAGGTGACAGCAACGAACAATCGAGAACAAGACACTGCAACGGGGGAGCACACCAGTTCCTGCTTCACCTTTTTTCGGTACTGCTCCAGCACCTGGAGTCTTTCCGCTTCATCGCCCTCCCCAGACATACTTCAGGCCTTCTTCCCTATCACCCCTTTCGCTGTGTTCGGAAGAGCTCTGTACCCCCCCGAATACAGATTTCCAGCCGACGGGAGTGCTCTCTCAACGCCCCTTGTCTGCCTACGGCGGGAGATCTCGTGACAGATCAGCAGAAAAGCGCGGTGTGCTTCTGGGGAGCAACGCGCGCAAAATCAAGCACAACTCGAGGCAAGTTGATCGTCTCTCCTCGTGTCTGTTGCTCGGTCCGTTGCGTCTTGTGCTCGGCTCTTGCCTTCTCTCGGCCTCGCTCGCTTGCTTCCGCCGCAAGGGGTCCCGCAAAATATATACAGGTCCATGGGAATACCATCGTCGGGTGCTCCGGTTGTGTCGGTGACATCACCAGTTCCGGTCTTTCCGCACACCGCACACAGGGCAGTCGGTCAGTCAGCCACACAAGCCCGTCTTCATCAGCTGGACGCGCCGTACTTGAAGATGGGAACAATGAAGGTTTTCTTGGAGAACATCCGCAGCATGGCGCGGAGCCCTACGCAATACAACCGGACTCAGCAGGAGAGAATAGTAAGAGATGTTATTTATGCAACGTGATTTTGGAACAAGCAGCGGAGTTCGTAGCAAACAACGCACTTGCTGCTGCACCGCTTCAACCGCCAGAGAGCTTACTCCCGTTGTGAATCTTGAGGCTTTCCCGGAGCTCTGAAGCTCTTCGTTCGTCGTGAGAGTTCACTAAGTCGTGAACCGTTGGTACCGGCTTCACGCCCCGCCGTATGTGCCCCTTGCTGCCTTGCTGTGATGTGTGTCCTTTCGAACCCCGAACACCCAGCATTCCGTATCCAGAGGTGGAGCGGTGTTTCATTGACACCATACTTGTTGTCTTAGTACTGCTGTGGTAGATATTTCGTGTAACAACATGCGAACTTTCAACGATAGAATTACCCCAGACCACCAGTGCTTGTTCCTCTCTCACCACACGCGCCCGGGGCTGCCGTAGCCCTGCAACCATGCACCGGCCTTGTTGTATTTCGGACCCGATGATTTCATCCTAGATCGACTCTGGCCCCTTAGTCTGTCGATACATACCCCGTAAAGTATCCCGAAAAATTGTTCGCTTTTTTTGATCTTTTTCTTTCATGTCAGTCACTTCGGAATCAAGCTCTCCTATAGATTTACCAGTGATTTGCTCGTAGTCTAGTCTACGATCACGTCCTTGCCTGCTAAACCTAAAAACCAATGAATGAAAATTCAAACACCCCCATAATATGTACACTCAAGTTTGAAAGCATAGGAACTTGAAACAGGACAACACAGCAGTAGTCATGCAGCCACTGCAACAGAAAAGGTCGAAGGGTCGAAGGGCCTGTTGGCCTGGACTGTTGAAGAGCCGCCTGAGCGCGGGGTTTCTTTTTTCTCGTCATTATCGTACGCTTCCAACTTCTATTTCTCCGAACCAATCTCGGTGCTACTGCATGCATGTGCTTCCCGACGCTGTGTGCTGCGCTCAGGCCTCTCAGGAAGCTGAGTTTGAAGCTGCGGTTGCCGCCTCCCTCGTCGAAGCTGGTGGTTCTGGCTTTCCGGTGCTGCCTGCATCAGGTAAGATCTAGATTGTTCTGTGAGAGCAACGGCGGTATTTTCGAGCATCGGATCAGGTTGATTTGTGGCTTGTATGCTGCATCTAAACATAGAGTGGAGAGAGAGAGAGATAGAGAGAGATTCGGAGGGCCTGGACAGAAGAGTGCAAATATGTTACGGCACTACTCCGAAAGTCATCGCCATCGCCACTACCGCCACCACCACCGACAATGTTGTAACCACAACAGCTTTTGTTTTATTTAGTCCTACAACTGTGCCTAATGTCAAGTGCGGCATAATATCTGCTGTACAACAACGTTGCGAGCAGTTGCTCATGTGTTGTTGTTGTTGTTGTTGTTGTTGTTGTTGTTGTTGTTGTTTTTCTTCACATTAAACTCGTGTCAGTTGCTAATCCCAAAATCTAGCAAAGACTCGGCCCGTGGTCACAAAAATGCTAAAGCCATCAGAAGATCTAAAGAACACGCACACTATTAGCATGAAAAGGGTACACAAGCCCGAGGAGGTACACCTACATGTGTTGGCAAATGGCGAATGGGACAGAAAGAACACGGGCACTTTGTTTGATCGTGCTGTATGTAGGCTGTAGATTGATGTGTTGGAAGCGAAATGTGAGAGTTGAGAACCGCACCCAAAAACATGTGGGAGGCAGTATTCCCGTAAGCGGCGAAGAGATCGCACCGTCTCTACTAGACCGACTTCCAATTCCCAACTGCTTCTTCTCAACCAAGTGGGTGCGAAGTGCTATGTATGATAAGAGCCCGATAATTCCAGCCAGCAAATTTCACGGTATGTTGCTAGTCCTCGATAATTCTACCGAAAGCCTTCGACGAGATGCCCCCAAAACCAACATTTTTGGTGGTGGCACAAGCTTGGTTTTGGAACAGTCGAGCTTTCACAATCGTGCATGCCGTAGTCGTTTGACCATTGACCTCGCATCCCTACAAAGCCGGGACGGAGCACGCCGGGTTCTCACCGGACCAGGCTCTCACATCACCAAGCGCGAAGCGCCGTGAGGTATTTGGCGAGTCGCATGAAGGGTGCGCTGCCATCCTGCTAAGGGTGTTCGGCATCTTGTGCTTACTTCCTTGCGTACGGATGACAGCTGCGTATGACTTAATTTATTTTCTGGTGCTTTCACTTCCAGAGACAGCAGTTATGAGCACTGTGTAACTGCCTCGAGGAAGCTTGACCATTTTAACACAACGTGGTGCGATCATCCCCCGTTGCGCGGAGTGAGGTTTCTCGACCCCGCACAACATGATCTACTCGACCACCATTATGGTTACCGCCAAAAAAAAAACCAGAGGTAAAAAAAAAAGACGGTAACCTGGTTGCCGAGTTCACGAAGTGAATTGGCTTGTTTTACAACGTCGTTGCCAATCGACGAAAACCCAATCCCGATGGCAAACACCGAGTGGGGGGCTTGTTTTACAACGTCGTTGCCAAGTGACGAAAACCCAAACCCCGATGGCAAACACCGGGAGGGGGGGGGGGGGGAGCATCTCTTCGCCTTTTACGGTTACCCAACGACTGACTGAGACAGGGAAGAGGGAATGTTGTTCCTGCGGAGGAACGGACGCGGAAAAACATTAGTATACGAATCGGAAGATAAATAAAAAAAATTACTATACACGACGCGGTTGACGCACAACCACACAACCCTTACACTTCTCATGTTTTGTACAATGTCTTCCCAAAAACAAACGATACTCACCATGAAAAAATATCAAACCACACACACATCTTGAAAAAACTGGCCTGGTACTTCTACCTTTTACCTCTATTCACACCCGTGCCGGTCCAACAGACGCTGATTGCCTTTCGTGGCCGCAGGCAAACCACGCCCGAAAGGGTTTATACACACTTTTCGGATGTACCACAACACACTTTTCCGCAACACACAAAAAAGAGGTCGTGTGTATTTTCTAAACACAAAAGACATGGCAGTCGGACGTCGTCCGCCATACGTGGAATAAAGGAATGAAGGGCCCATCGCTCCCGCTCTGCACACACACACGCGATTCCAAACAAGATAAAACGAACAAAAGAGAACACAAGCCGGTCTTTTCGAGCAAGTGGGGCGGAACCTCCTGACCTCTTGGCTCTAGCCAAGCACGGGCGTACGCTTTTTTTTTTTTCTCAATATGATTCCATCTCTATCCCAGAAAAGAGTCCACGGTAGGTTAGCAATGAACTCACAGCGGCAGCGGAGACTACCTGTATTTATACGGTGTCTCGCGCAGCACACGGCGATATCCCCCCTGTGGGGAACAGTCTCAACAAGACAGTAGTCATGTTAACACATTCAGAGGGAGGAACGGAATAAGGTGGAAAGCTGCTCCGACAGCGGATAGCTTGCCACGAGTGTGCTAAGGCAAGTACATAGATAGGTTGACGCATGGACTATTGTGTAGCGTTTAAAAGCGGGTTTTGATGGTCGCAGATTTCAACCCCGGGTAAGGGAGTCGATGTATTCTAGATACGCAGACCTTTCACTAGGAAGAATAAGTATAAACACATAAAGACTATCGTACCCGTTCGAGATATAACCATAGTCGAACGGGGTGTGTTGGAGTTTTCAGCGAGTGGAGGGACACCGGCTAGACCTTTGATTTTTTGAAATACGCATGGTGACAGCGGGATTGTCGGAGAGTCAGTCGGTATCGCCCGTGAAACACCTCGCCGATCTCGCTCTCCCCCCCCCCCCCCCCCGCCCGGTCTTCGTGCAAAACGTTTCCGCACGTACGTACAGTATGTGTGTCGAAGCTGGAAGCTTTCTGATTTGTTCGTTGCTTGCTCTTGCTGAGCTCTTCCGTTGTGTATCCCGATATGTCTGTTGTTCATGCTGTACGTATGTAGTGCGCTCACGAAAGCTGCTCCGAGAGCTGACTGCCATGTGCCGCGTCCGTTGCCGTGTTTCTTGACTAAAGCTAACGCTGCTACTGCCTCTGCTGCGCTCTTGCTTCGTGCTGTGGCCTATGTGCTCGCTGCCGTCAATATTATCCTGCGTTCCCGGTTCTCCTTTGATTGGTCCGGGTGCAGGCGGCGCCGGCGCCGGCAGTGCGCAAGGCGACGAGGCCGCCGCCATCGCCGCCGCCATCGGAGCCTCGCTCGACATGCACGAGGCCGCTGCTGCTGGCTCTCAGGGCAACGGCGCCAGCAGCAGCAGCAGCAGCAGCAGCGGCGGCGGCGGCGGCGGTCGCGGCGGTCGCGGCAAGAAGGGCGGCGCCCACCCCGACCCAGCGCCGTTCGCGGGAGGCTTCGACGGCACCCACGGCTCCCAAGACTTGGCATTTCTGAGCGACCTCCCGTTGCTCCCACCCGCCCCCGCTCCCGCCCAGACAGGCAGGGGTGGTGGCGGTGGCGGTGCTGCTGCTGCTGCTGATGCTGCTGGTGGTGGGGAGGGCGTACGGAAAGGCCGGGGCGCGTGGAGCGGGGGCGCCATGTTTGGTGAGTGCATGGCGTTCATCTGTCTGTGCGCAGCTTGTTTCATCATTTGCTGTTGCGGTTTTGTGCCGTTGCGAGTTTCTTCCCCTTAGACCCGGTATGGCCTCTACCCACTGTCTCCACAAACGGCGGCAACTGTGGCAGCGGCGGCAGCAGTAGGGGCCACAACAGCAAAGGACTCCTGGCTCGTGCCTCGCCCCTCGCATTTCCACCTCTCTTTTCTCTTGCCAACTCACAAACGTGACTTGTCGACGACACTAGTAATGGTACCAATTGTCCGTTTTATTTGTCTGTCTTGTCCTTATCAAGACTCTCTAATCCGATACGTAAGCATACACAAACATGCGCAACCCTTCGTCGGCAGGGGGATCGTTGGTGCCGCGCCAGCCACGGGCCCCCTCCTCCGGTAGAGGGCGAACGGTCGAGGACGAAGCGCTGGCCAGGCGCCTGCAGGAGCAGTGGCTCTTAGAGAATGCTGCGGACCGCGGCGGCGGCGGTTTCGGGGGGCAGGTAAGAAGAAGACCCGAAAAATTATTTTTTTCCCTCAAAGCTACATTGCGCTGCTGTTAATAGTTGTGTCGCTCACGATCTCTTCCCACCCAGCGGCGGTGTGTTGTAGGTAGGAACTGGCGGTAACGGGAACGCAAACGGGAGCTGTCCTGTCCTGTTCTGTGCAGGTGGTGCCCGAGTCTCGATGTTGGCGCGAATGGAGGGTCTGCGGGGGGACCCTTCGTGGGCAGGCTAGTGGAGAGTAGTAGTAGAGAGAGAGAGAGAGAGAGAGAGAGAGAGAGGGAGGCAAAGAGAGAGCGAGCGATGCTTGCTTCTCACGTGGGCGGGTTCAACTGGGAAGACGGCGCGCGCAGTTGGTGCCCTTTCATGGCCCCCTCCCTGTCTTCTTGTCTTCCCCACCACCTCTTGGATTTCCAACGTCAATTGTGATAGGCATACGCTCTTTGCGATTGTTTGTTATCAATCTCGAGACGTGTCTCACATGCTAATTCTTGGCATGCGATGCGAATGCTCTTCTTTCTGTCCTCGAGTTTGGTATGCCGCGGGGTGTGTGTGTCTGAAATGGCCCTTTTATCTTGACCCTTCTACAAGACATTTATTCTTGCCCGCTAAATCCCCCCCCTCCCTACCCCCGGGAATGCTATCGACAGTGGCCAGGCGGCGGGATCGGTCGCATATCGGGGAAACGCCCTTCCGCGCCGGGTGTGCGCATTTGCGCGGGCTGCTCGATGCCGATAACCGACGCTGTGTTTCGCCAGGGTGCCATGGGGGAGAGTTTCCACATGGGCTGCATGCCGGGAGGAGAGTCGCCCCTTCCCGCCTGCAAGGTGGGCTGCTGTTGTTATACCAGTGGTGTCCGTAGTAGTAGCAGTAATAGTAATAGTAGTACTATAAGTAGAAGCCGTCGTTGGTGGCGATGTTGTCGCCGACTTTTCCTTTGTGGAGAACATCATTTTCAACCTAAGGCACTCCATTAACCCCGCGGCACTTCGGAGGTTAGCTTGTTACTCCGAGTCCAAATGTACATGATCTTGGTACAAGCAGTAACGGGTTCGGTGTCGCTGTTGCTGTTGTTGTCGTTGTTGTTGCTGCTGCTACTGTTGTTATTGTTGTTGTCCTAGTCGTCGTCGTGGTTGTTCTTGCTGTCGGATATGTTGTTTTTGCCGTTATGCCCTTGAGAAAACCGGTACCCTTGCTCCCTAAACATGATCAGGTGTGCCATGAAAGGCTGCCTGCCCAAGACGGGCGGGTCCACTTCTACCGCCACAACTTCTTCCACGAAGTGTACTGTCCATGGCATCACGACAGGTGCTGATGTTGTTTCCTGCTGCAGCTGCTGCTGCTGCCGCTGCTGTTGAAATCCTCCGCCGGTCCCCCCACCCTCACATCTCGTGGCCCACGCGCCACGTTGATGATTGGACAAGCAAGTATGTGAAGCTTTTCATGACGAATCGACACGGTCCTCATCTGCGGTTGTTGTTGTTGTTGTTGTCCTTCGCGCACCTCCCCCCCGCTGTCACAGCTCGCCACGGTGCTGCAGCTGCATGCGGCTGGAGCCCATGCCACATCCACCAGGAAAAGGCGGGGAGGGACCGTTCGCAGAGCTGTCGGACGGCCGAATGCTGTGCATGGCGTGCGCACAGGTACATATTGCATGCTTCCGACGGGGGGGCGTAGTCATGTAAAACGCATGCCGTAGTCGTTAGACCGTTGACCTCGCGTTCCTACAATGCCGGGACGGAGAGATGTGCAGGGTTTTCGCCGGCCCAGGCTACGTGGCACAGGGGTGGACCAGAAGTTGGCCATCGACCTTGCTTGGGGGACGACGTTAGAGGTCACCCTAGCGAAAACCGCGCCCATGTCGTTCTGTTTGGAACGCTCCCTCCCTCGGCAGCGCACGTGGGTGTATCATATTTAAGAGCTACTTCCCGTCATTTGGAAAACGATGTCATCCAAGCGATCAAACCCGCGACATCTCCAAATCAATCCTGGCAAGGATGCATTCACTACTGTACAATGCGAAGAGACTAAACTAAAGGTGCGATAATTACGTTGGCCGGAAAAATGAAGACCTAGTTTTGGGGCGGGGGATACACGTAGGCTTTATTGACCATTTCTTCGAGACATGTACCCTACCCTCTCCCGGTTCCGCCGACAACCCGTTAGACATACAAACATGCTCTGTTTCGCCTGTCTGTGCAGGCATGCGAGGCATTCTCAAGGCTACATGCCTCTGTCTTGGCTTTGCAGTGCATGCGAGACAGTCCTAGTCAAGGCCATGGACGGAAAATCATGTACATTGGTGACGACCCCCCCTCCCCCCCCCCTAAACCGGTCCGTCTCGAAAGGGACGCGTGGTCAATGGTCAAATGACTACGGCAAGCAACAAATGAGTACGCCCCCCCCCCCCCCCCCCCCGGGGGGGGGTAAACCCTTTGGTGGTGGGTTTTTTTAAAAGGGGGGGGGGGCCCCCCCCAAGGGGGCCCGGGGGTTTTAGG